CGGCCATCCCGCTGGCGCTGCAGGCGTGGGCTGCGTTACAGCATGGAAAGGTACGCGGCCGGTGAAGGAAAACAGTATTAAAAGCACAGTTACAACTAAGTAAAAACTTGTGTTCATCACTCCTTTGAGATTGAGTGGCTCCAAAAACTCTTTGTAAAAAGAAGAAAGCAATCCTTTGCACCTAGGGAAGGCAAGGAGGCGTTGATGAGAGCTCGGGGGTCCGACGGGGACTCCGCGGCTGTGGGACAGCAGTCGGGATGGTATTTTAGGAGAACTGCTGAGTCACGGGAGACAGTCCCAAGGGTCCAACACCTCCTCCCTTGCCGGCTCCCAGCCTTCCGAATCGCTCTTATCTGCTCCTCGCACGACGGCACTGAAATCCCAGGATTTTTCTACAGTTGCACATACCATATTCTATTAACACGCAGTAGCGCGCCCGAAATACTTTATGCAGTAGCAAAAAAAAAAAAACCCCAAAACCCACATGGTTCAATTTCTCTCATGCATCGCACTACAAAGGCGAAATGACAACCTGAAACACCAGTCATCTCCCAGCCCTGAGTATGTGTCTTAAATGCGTACTGAAAAGCCTGAACCGCCACTGAAATTTTCACATAACCACCTCTCGACTGCACATAGATGACGATCACTTCACTTTTCCTCCTATGTGCACGCACATTTTTTCCTCAAGCCAAGACACAACCAAAGCCTACACTCTTCCCTCCAATAAAGTGTAGCAATTCATGCCTACGAATGGAAATCTGCATCCTATCTCCGTGTTCTTCTAAGTCCAGCTTCCAGGCGTGATGTCTCATTATGTCACTATCTACAAGCCTTAGACTATTTTTTTTTTTTGGCAGACAGAAGTTGAATAAGTTTGTGTCCCCAGGGGGGGGAAAAAAAAAAAAATCAACCCCAAAACAGTCTCATATTTTTGATCCAGCTCCCCAAACTGAAGTTCAGCCCCACACTGCAAAGCGCCGGAAGATAATGCAACATACTCTACCACTGACTCGAGGCCACTGTTTTGTATGTGGTAGAAGTGTTTTTCAACAAGGGAAAGTTTATTTATCAGAAACCAGCCAACTTGACAAATGATGAGCAAAACTTCCACTGCCCTTTTCCCCAACAGCAACAAGCTCGGAGGAAGGTTTTGCTGCAGATCAATGTCCTCCAGAGAGTGGGGGACTCCTTTCCACCGGAGTCCTGCGTGCAGTGAAGCTCCTTCAACCGCGTGCCGTGCAGTCCTGAGCAGGAATTGCCAATCCATCAGCTTCATATGAACTTTGCATCGTGTTACTGCTTATTTCTTTAACAACACGAAACACTGAGAAGAAATGAGTTTTCCTCCATGTATGGCACCCCCTTTGTGTGATGCCGGCCTCAGATGTTTGTCCACTGAGAGCAGCTGTGAAGCTCGAAACGTGGAAAGAAACCCCAACCTATCAATCTCATTTATACTACAAGCTACAAATAAAACTCGCCACTGTTCAGCGTTTTCCCCATGGTGAAGATAAACAATGTGTGATCATCTTTAAAATGATAAATACTACAAGGAAAGTAACAGCTACCTAAAAGGAGTCCCCGGGGGGATGGCTGTGGAATTGATCCTATATTACACGGTTGCTTAAGCAACGCTCCGTACATCCGAGGGCTGCAATAAGCTCTAGGCAGGTTTAGTTCAATAGAGTTTGACTTCGCCACGCTGACAGTTCCCATTTCAGAAAATTGAGGAAACACACGCTGTGCTCGGCGCGCGCAAGATGGCAGAGCCAGAAAGTAAGCAGGAACCTACACAGCCAGCCCCGACCGCTCGGGGGGAGCGGGCGAGCAATAACCCCACAGATTCAGACATCTAAAATGGAATATTCGGCTTAACAAGCTCAATCCAAACTTTTCCGCTGCCTGGTGGTTCTTATCCTGAAGGATGTGCGTTGCTGTAAATCCTCCAGGCACACATTGTTTCCAAGACATTCCTTCCTCCTGCCTTATGGTTACTGACTCCCTGAGCCAGAGATCCTGCAACATGTTTAATACAGTTATTTTTGTCCCAAGCACATTCATCCATTTTAATATCCCCCAACCGATTCCCCCATATGTTATAATCAAAGTCAGACTTCACAAGAGCCGGGCGACTGCAGGGCAGGCAATGAGATGTTTATGTCCTCGCTCACCAGGAGCGTGCAGCAGGCTCCGGAAGAAGAGTTGCCCGCGTACCTCCAGGACGTGACATCTCGGCAGTGGGAAGAGACCATCATCTATTTTTCCTTTCCCTCCAACATCTTACATCTAAGGAATATCGATTTCTATATTTTCCCCGTAAAGACGCGCGCCCCTCGCACACGCGCCGTTGAAGCAAGTAAGGGGAGCCGCAGCGCACGCTCCTCTACCGCAGCGCCCCAAACCTTGCCTTCAGTCCTACGCTGGCACCGGGCATCGGAGCTGCACCGCGTGGGTCAGCTTCTGCTCTTCAAAGCCGTAGACATCAGCTAGCTTTCCTCAATCGCTTGCCGACCTTACAGCAAAACAGGGAGGAAGAAGACGCGGCACACAGTCAGGGCTCTGAAACACTGCGTTTTGAGGAAATGCAACCGCGCAATGAAGATGCATCGCAGCGGTCAAAGGGCCCTGGTGGTTCAAGCGACTGAGAGAATGCCTCAGGTCACTTGATGAACGTCAAGTATTTCATCCAAAAATAAAAAAAAAAAAGCTTTTAAGCTGAGTGATGCAACTATTAACTGCCAAGGACCAGGATGATGCATTTTGTAAGCACTCATAGCTGTAAAAATCAAGGTCTCACGGCTCATCAGCCTCATTTGTTAAGAGAATCTGAACAACAAATTGCCCATTTCCATTTACCGACTAATAACAGAGAAAGCAAACCTACCTACGCCCTTCCAGCGCATCTCAAAATTATTTATTGCAGTAGTATTTTCAGGCATCTCCCTGCATCTTTCGGGGAATAAAGAAAGAGCTCTCATTTCTTTCTCCGAGACGAATGGTCTTCAAGCCCAGATGGAACAGGGCTGCCTTCAGGATTCAGCTCTGCCATTTCACTGCGCAATGCTTTAGGGCAACTCCACACCCCACCCCACAGAAACACTTCAAATTAACACCAACGCTTCCCATAACTTAGTACTGACAACAGATAACCTCGAATGTTACACGGGGCAGTTTCGATCCCAGAGAGCTTAAAGAGGAAGAAGATGATGCCCTCAGTGGGTGGCGAAACCGCTGAGAGAAACTATTCAATATACTTGGTGGGTGCAAATAAATACTTGTGCATAATTTTATCAAGGCTTAGCTCTATCAGGCCAGCCATTTGTTCAGCTCTCTGCTAAGAAATGAGAGAAAAGACACGGCAACGTTTGGCTTTCTAATACAGGGCATGAGTTAAGTGAACAGTCCTGAAGCTAATTACACCTCGGAGGCCAGCGGCACTGAGAACAGATCGAGGGCTAAAAATCTCCAAAAGAAATCTCTACATTTCTGCATCATCAGGAGTTCCAGACGCTAGCAGAAGCTGAGTGCGTATACCAACAGCCACAAAATAAATTAGAGGTTTGACAATGCATCTGATTTTTTATTTATTTATTTATATATTTTTAAAGAACAAAACAGATGCAGTGAAAATGGGAATCGCCCCTGCTTTCAGTGCCAGCCAGCTGGAAGTGTTTATTTCACCTTGACCTTGTTCTGGGTTTGCACTTCTTTCCTGCAGCCCCAAGTCTGACATAATGCACAACTCGAACTGCTAATTGGAAGGTCTGACTCCTATGGAAAAAAGGTCACATATCTATTACCTTCTCTCAACACTCCGTGGAACTGTGCAGCGTTACTCCCCTGAATGCATAATTCAATTAGAAGAGGAGGTTTGTTGTAGAACAAATGGGAAAAGTAAAACAACAACAGAGATACGATGGCCCAAGGCACCCAGCTCCTGGAGTCAATGGGGATGAGACCATCAGTGGAGGAAGAAGCGGGCAGGCTGGGAAGATGCACGTGGCTGTAAACTATGGCAACTCTTTCTTGCATGGGAAGTCTGCCAGCCATACTTGAGGAAAGGCAAAGTTGAAAAAAAATCCACTTGTCTTATTTAAAAAAAAAATAATTTAGAAGTCAGCTAGTTTCTGGAACAACAAATCACATCATGTTTTGAAGAAACTGCCTCTATACCACGACAGATTTCTACCAAACTCAAGGCAACCATTCCTGCGTTCAATCCCCACTGCTGCTGTTGAAGTAGTAATGAGAGACCCCTGGCGATGTAATACCTAGGAATGGATGAATTACCGAATTCTACCCCAAGAAAGGCCCCTCTCCTGGCGGGAGGACCCAGCAGGGCCCTAAGCGAGGACAGCAGCGCAATCGGCCTGGTAACCGCAGCAAGCCGGTGCTCCTCCACTTCTGAGAATACAAAAGGAGAGGCTGGAGCACCACCAACACCTTTGCTACAACAATGCCAGAATGAGTCACTCCTGTTTCTCTTTACCTTTTTATTTATATGCCACAGCTAACATACTGCTTCAGCAATCGCAACCTTCTAACCTCTCTTTTTCAGAACTAAATGTTCCTTGTGCATCTGAGGGCTTTTCATTTGGCAAAGGTTGGCCATTTCCTAACGAGCAGCAACCAGGAAATTAGGAAACTGCAAGCACAAGACACACACGGGACCAGCACAGTGCTGGATACACTGAGTCGGGATATCTACGATCATTTGGATGAGCCAAACCTCTCCAAATCTCTTCTACCTGTTGATAACATATTCTAAAGAGAAAGGAGTCCTGCCGTGCAAACCAGCATTCCCCGTTTCAGTAACGCGGGCACAAAGTCCGGGTGGGTACCAAGGTCGCCACGTTTCCTGCTGTGGACAGAAATGTTTTTCATATTATTAGGGTTAACAGTACAACCTGGATACCTCAGGGTGTGAACACCGTTCTACAGAACAAAAAGAATGGGACTTCGGGTATTTACTCTGAAAGACACCTCTGACACCTTAGATGGTCATTTTGGAAGGAGACGGTCTATGTTTTGTGGCTGAAAACTACCAAATCGGGCAGCAGGCGCCACAGTTCTTCACCTGTGCAGGTCTGGAAGGTATGGAGAGATTGAAAGCACTGCCCACCACGTGATGTGAGCAGGAGCTGGAGGTACAGAACAGCGCTCTTCTCTAAATGGTACTGTTAGCATTGTGGGGGATTATTTTCGATTTGTTTAGATCGCAGGAGAACCCCTGCAGGATGTCACTTTGGAGCATCACACAAAAACCAGTAACACACCTTCTATTCTTCCGATAGTTTTAATCGAGCAATATTTTGTCTTGGAACTCTGGGAAAAGCTCATTTACAAAATTATCTGAATGAACTGAAAATTGCTTTTGAGGTCACAGATGCCCGTTCTTGCTTTGCATTCAGTTACAGAGGAGGAAAAAAGAGGTCTTCAGCATTGCCTCATCCCACCGTGTTCAGGGCACAGAACAGAAGGTATGGAGGCTCATGGCAGACACCAGAGCCTAGGGAGAAAAACTAAGGCAACTGTGCTACTGGGCAAGCTAGCTGCAGTGAAGCAAGCTCGCTTTCAGATTTCTGGGTCTCATCATCTTTAATAGAGATAACACACAATTTTCAGGGCACGAGCTTTGCGGAACAAGCCAGCTTCAGGTGCAAGAATCAATACCACACGTCAAGGCACTGCGAGCAGCAAGTGTTTTGCCCAAATAGGAGTCAACTACCAAAAACCCCCAACGATTCAAAGCCAAGCCGCGCACACCAACAGGTCTGCACTAGGCATTCAGCAGGTGAATTTGTTTGGGATGCAAAGCTGTGCTCCGAGATGATGGTTCAGGAGAAAACGGGAGTCTTTCAAATACCCTGAAAGCTCTGGAGGTACCTCTGATCATATAAAATGCTAAAGCTACTACAGGACTGCTCAAACTCACCATCCAGAAACAGTAAAATAATCCAATCACCTTCAACTTAGTGGTTAAACTAATGTCGGCTACGGGCATTATCAAGTGCTAGAAGGGAAACAACAGAATTAGTATTTTCCAGTACAATGTCCTTGGACTGTAACTCCCGTAATCACTGTGTTCACAAACACTCTGAACTGGTGATACAAGGGCACAGAGCTTTCAAACGGGAATTCAACCAAAACACTTCTATGACACAGCAGTAACACCCCTGTCCAATGGAAATATAGTAACCAGACAATAATTAAGTCAGAACGAGCCACGTAAAAGGTGCGTTCAAGAACCACTCATTACAGAAAGTGCCACTGCAGGACAGGCATAAATCCTTTGCAGATGTAGAGTTGTGAGTCCACAGGGTATACAGATGCAGAGCTCATTTTACTGGCAACAGATAAAAAGGATGGAAAGGACTTAAAGATGATCCTGAAGTGGAGGTATTTAGCAGAAAAATGGAGGCTATTTCTTTTATAGACTGAACTTACAACACGAGAAAACACATAATCTGCTGGTGATCCTGCTACACGCTAAGGGGACTGAATGATACATTTTCAACTAAGAAAAATCTTCCTGATTATCTTGCCTAATTGTTCATCAGATTTGTTGGACATTAGGTAGACTGACTTGAGCAAGAAGGCTTATATGAGCTGCAGAAAATAGTATGTCAGCCGGGACAGGAATTCTGACCCTTTCCTTGCAACAGCAGGAGACCTCACCGCTGAGGCCACGAAGGCCAAAAGGTGCTAAAACCTTCAGATTTATAGATCACCTGCTTTCGTGGATCTGACTCCGCAGCCCCATGGGATCCAGTTCAAGTTAAAATAGCTAAGGATCGCTCTCTCCCTCTCAATAGGTTCTCCCGTCTCGAGAGACATGACTCCAGAGCTACAAACAAACCCGGACGAGAGCAGGTTAAAGCCTGTTCCCCATTGCTGAGTTACAGGGCCAGAGCCCATTTCAGCTACAAACAGAGATACGACGTTAATGAGCAGCAGAGAAACATCCATGTCGCTTCACCACCTTTGTGCCTTGCACACCATTTTAATATCCCTAAAATGGTATTATTTGAAACCCTACATTCGGAAGGAAAAAGGCAATTGTTAACGCAGGCTATCCACGCCCTTCAGATTTCTCTGTGGCTGCCCAATGGCCATAATGGTGTCAAAACACCAAGTCACCTCACACTTGTGTGCCACGAGCATAAAGAAAGCAGAAACAGTGATGGTGCTGATCAGTCAAGACAATCCGAGATGAGTATGGGTGCCGTGCCAACTAGGCATGGAAGAAAACCAACACAAATTAAATAAAAAAGAGAAAAGAACGCAATTGCTACCAACCGTGCCCTCACTGCCTGCTGCCTGGCTCTACCGATATACACACATGGTAGATTCTCCTTCTGACTTGTCCAAGTGGGAGAGGAATCTTCAAAGCATTCCCATTTGGAAAAAAAAATAAAAAAAAAATAAAAATCCCCTTTTACAGAATTCATGCAGTAACCAGAAGTTCCCCATTATAAGAAATCAAATTAAGACACTAGGCAAGCTAGCAAAGCAGTCAGCTGAAACAGGCAGGTAAGGACACAATTTGCCTGTCTGATTCTTGCAAATACCGTCTTGTTTGATTTTTCTTGTTCTTGTGTTATTAATAAATTATACAAGAATACTGAACAATATGTTAAAAGGAGAACCGTAAGCTTCAATTTTAAAAGTTCAGCTAGAAACCCACAATTACACTTTAAGCTACCAAATTGCTGCGAGCGGGAAGAAAGTGCTTTTACACTCTATGTGCCGTTTGACTGATCTCAAACATGGGAAAAGGGGAGAAGGCAGTCTGTTAAAAGATGAAACGCATTTGTCTCTTCTTGTGCTAAACCAGAACTTTTTTTTGCTCTCAAGCTGGGTGTTGATTCACATGCACGGCTCGTACCAGGTAAGTCCTGGTAAGGCAGACGGCGCCGCGAGCGCACAGTGTAACGTTTAACAGTGCTCTGGGTACCGCGATACCGGGCTCCCCTCTGCCCCATGCCCACCTGCAGCCCGGGGCAAAAACGCAGGAGACGCAGCCCAGAGCGGATATAAAAAACAGAAGAACACATTACACAGTGCAATCACTGCCCAACTGCACCAAGAAATAGTGTAAATTGACAAAGAGCTGCTAGAAAGTATTTCTTGTTCACAGCACTCAACTGTGGGGCGGTATTTTTCTGAAGCGCAGCACGTTTTTCAGCCTGGAGAATTACTTCTGATTTCCAGAGCAGGACAACAGGCAAGGGCAGAAGGAAGCGAAGGATCAGACTATCAAAGCACATTTATCATGGAGCTCTTACATCACCCAATATTCAAAGTATGCCACCGGTAAGATGTCGAGCACCAGAGTGTAAAGCTAATGTTTTATCCTGACCACACCAGGGCAACGAGCTTCCCACGAGCAAACCCTTACTGGAGTTAGCAGGGACCACGAATAAACGTCACATTTTGTCCTTAATGAGAAACAAAAGCAAAAATGTCAAGCTTCTGCTGAGACATTTTCTGGGTGGGTTAACAACTATCCTCCAACAGTACCTTTTATTCGTTTGTGAGAACTAACACATACCAAAAATAATCAACAAGAACACCACCATCGCCAACAACCGCACTCATGAGGCCACACCAACCATCAGTTCAGTGAGCGACAGATCCTTACACATCCGTTTAATTAAAACGCTTCCTTCCAAGAAGGTCTAACTCCTATATTCCTTGCACAATCACAGGGAGGACCAAAAGCAAGCCAGAAAGGACCTACCCCCGCTAATTGCCCAATCAGTGAGTTCTGACTTAAGGCTATCGGTGATAGGAAGGCTGTGAGGAGCACCTCGTCATCGGTGCGTTCGACTTGGTGATAGGAAGGCTGTGAGGAGCACCTTGTCATCGGTGTGTTCGACTCCTAACTCCTACCGTTCCAGAGGTTACACCAACGAGGCTTGACTGGAAAACTAAATGTTTTTTTCAGGTGCTCTTCTCCAAGACTACAAACCCGCTACCGAGGAGAAAAAAAAAACAGCTGTGCCAAAGTTAGATGAGGAAAGAAATAATAAAACCCTTCTTTCAAATCAAAGCTGAAGATGTGCAGAGAGCTTCACAGGGGACCGGTGGTACCAGCACTGCTCTCGCACAAAAGGTCAAAGATGCAGCAGCACTAATTACGCTGAGAAAAATGAGAGTGACCTCAGACAGAGATGACGCCGGTTACTCTCACAAAAAACCACCAGATTCTTGCATCTAAGCCACACAAGAGTATAGCCGGAAAAGTATCACAAACTATTCACAAATGCTTCTTGAAACCACAGCTTAGAAGCAGGAAGACAAAACACCTACATTTTTGCTGGCAATTTTAAGTAGTAAAAATGTAACTTGTTGAACTTTGCTTTAGCAGGCCTGAGCCCTATAGACTCGTAAAACACAACTGCGCTGCCCAAAACCCCGGGCAACAAGACATTATTACCAGTAATAAAGTTCTTGAGCTACAAAGTGTCCAGTGTTCTTTTAAAATGATTAAAATGAACAAATCCTCCTTAATTGCATTAGCGTTGGCTACCCCAGGGAACACAGCTCGGTCGCTAAAGCAGGGAGAGGAGACCAGCCATCTGCCAGCAGGGTCACGGCCCCGACCTGGCTGCTCCACTCCTCTCCACCCTTCTTCTCCTGTCGTACCAGGTACCCAGCTGATGCTGAACCCGGCTTTGCCTTCCCCCTTGGTGACAGAGAAGTTGCGAGATCTTCAGGTGAACAGAATTATAACTTAAACGCGGAGTAGCTTCAGCTCACCGAATTCAGCGACAAAATTCTCCCACAGGCTTCCAGAAGGCCAGGATTTCATCCCGAGCCCGTCTCTCGGCCCACAACGAAGCCACCACGTTCTCCTTTCCCGTTCGGGCTGCTGAAAAACACCATCCTGCGGAGGAGAGGCAGAGCGGGCTGGGTGTGCTGCCAGGAGCTATGTATCGGACACCTCACCTGCTTACCTAAAGGACCTCCAAAGTACGTCCCAATGTCGGTTGGAGGACCACAAATAAACTGCTGGCGGTGGAGTCCCTGGAGCTGAAAAGGAGCGTCCACTTCTTTTTACGTCAAAGTTTGGCTGCAGAGATCTTGAG